GATTACAAGGATCTATGTGACCTCCTCCCTGGGGGATGGACAACAGAAAAGTGGGTGAAGGGAGACTTCAGACAGTGTAAGACATGCAAAATAATAATTTATAAATTATCAAGGGCTCATGAGAGGGGGAGGGGCAGGGGAGATGAGGAAAATGAGGAGCTGATACCAAGGGCTCAAGTAGAAAGCAGATATTGTGAGAATGATGATGGCAACAAAGTTACAAATGTGCTTGACACAATGGATGGATGGATGGATTGTGATGAGTTGTACGAACCCCCAATAAAATGTTTTTAAAAAATCAAATGTGAAGCAATTATTTGACAACCTCCATCTACAAAAGTGGTGTTTCCATCTTTTGAACTTTCTTTGAAGAATCCTGCCTTTTTGACTTACACTTCCAAACAACAGTTTTGACATGGCATGCTCAAAGGACATAAATTGTGTTCCTTTGAAATGTGCTGTTTTGTGAACAAAACATAATCTAAAGTGGCAATAACTGGGCTCTGGAATATACAGGATACAGAGTAAGATTTCCCAGTGAAATTCTCCTAGGATTGTGCTTGCTCTCAAAGAATGAAAAGCTCAGGTGCATCAGTCAAAATGGAAAATTAACTACTTGGACCAACTTCTTGTCCCTGTTTGCCACCAATGCAGTTTACATTTTCCCGAAATGGCTGCTAATAAATGCCAATGGTTGTATTAACAAGATAACACCCTAGAAAAGGCTGTGATAATGATCTGTGCTTTCCTTAATGCCCAGATTTATCTTGCCCACAGACGCCCTTGTTTCGGTTTGTTTTGTTTCTTTAATTGTGTATTAGTTTACAGATGGTACCACTAACTTTTTGCATTTAACTTATCAAGACAAATGGTTTGCCTTATGTCCCCACCCATCCCCCTCCCTTTTGTGTCTATCTCTTTCTTTTACGATATTATATATCTTCATATTCATTCAAGTCAACACTTGTGGACTTGTGTTGGCAAAACGTAGCTATCTAGCCATGTGTGGCTCTGAAGGACAATGGAAAATTATTAAAGGATATTATTCCAATAATGGTGATTGTGTTTAAATAATTTTTAACTTGTTGTGAGGAACAGGGACAGGATTGGCTATCCCATCTAAAGAGTTTACCGTCTCCTAGTCTGGACTATTAATTCCCTGTTCCCCAGCCCCCTTACCATCCTGGGTATTCATCAGTCTCTATTTGTTAATGAAAACAAAGGTTATCTTACATTTTTCCTTTTGTGACTAACTTCATCACAGTGTTCTCCAACCATACATAACATGAGGTGTCTTAGCTTCATCACTACCAGTTAATGATGCAAGGAATTCCACTATATGTATGTACTATAAGTTTACTCATTTGTTCACCAATAGGCATCTAGACTTTTACCATTTTCTTGCAATTGTAGATAGATCTGCAGTGAACATGAGTGTGCTACGGTCTCTATATCTGCAGGGTATATACTAAATAACGTGCCTGATGATTGGTCGCATGGTGTTTCTATTCAGAACATTTTTGTTCGAGTCATTCTATTCCCACAGTTTGTAGCACCATTTTACAGCCTCACCAACAGTGTATCAGGGTTCCAAACTCTTCCAGTTTCAATTATTTGTGAAGAAATCCACTTGCATTCTATAAATATTTGATGCTAGCCTTGAACTGAACATCTTTTTTCCTTCGGTCCCAAAATGAGACGAAGATAAATATATTTCTGAGAAATCTTGTCTGCAGCTATCCAGTGAAGCAAAAAGCAATACATTTTTTAAAATAAACAATGCTAGTATGACAATAGACGCTGATATATTTTGATGCTCCCTGGGTGACGCCATATGCAATT